AGATTGAAAGGTAGTGATGAAGATCTTGCAGGAGTACCTCCAAAGGACCAATGAGTCTTCCTATGCCAAGAGTCATCTATGTCATAGAAAAGATTCATGGTTGTACAAAGTACCTTAACTTTGCTAGATGTATTCATTCATTTAGTAAGCAAGTGAAAAATAAAGCATTAAGCATAAACAAAATGCACAAATATAATTTCCAAATTATTTATACATGTCCATCTCCTTTTACTACAAAGTAAATGAGAAACTACTCACTTTTCATGGCTTTGGTAAAGCTATAAAAGTGAGTGATTCTCATCCCTACAAATAGAGGAGTTACAAGATAAAACNCAATAAGCAAGTGAAAAATAAAGCATTAAGCATAAACAAAATGCACAAATATAATTTCCAAAGTATTTATACATGTCCATCTCCTTTTACTACAGAGTAAATGAGAAACTACTCACTTTTCATGGCTTTGGTAAAGCTATAAAAGTGAGTGATTCTCATCCCTACAAATAGAGGAGTTACAAGATAAAACACACTACATAAGGAGCCTATCTTCGACGAAGAATGAGTGAATCACTTTTCACCATTCACAATTTTGGTAAAACTCTAAAAAAGTGGAAGAGTTTCACTCCTTTAAGGGAAGAAGGAAGTTCAAACAATGGATAAACAAATAAAACTAATAATGAAAGTAAAAGAAATCTAGTCACTTTTGGAGGATTTTCTCCTCAACCAAAAGATGATCTATCTCCCCATATGTATGTCTATCTACAAGTAAGTGTAAGTTTAAGTCTGAGACTAACTCCCTAAGTGTGCATGCCCTTTGAAGCTCCTACAATGGGAGATTTATAGGCAAGGAGGAGGATGTAAAGAAGTGTAAANTCTAGTCACTTTTGGAGGATTTTCTCCTCAACCAAAAGATGATCTATCTCCCCATATGTATGTCTATCTGTATCTAAGTGCAAGTAAGTGTAAGTTTAAGTCTGAGACTAACTCCCTAAGTGTGCATGCCCTTTGAAGCTCCTACAATGGGAGATTTATAGGCAAGGAGGAGGATGTAAAGAAGTGTAAAAGAATAGTACAAAATCCTCAAAGTCCAAGTGAATGCCTCAATGTCCGGATAGAAAATCAACCACTTTGCAACTTGTCTGGGGACTACGTTCGAACATTATATGACATTCGAACATTGAGTCCTGTCTTCTGTTATAGGCGTTCGAACGCTTAATGGAGTTTGAATGTGGACTCAAGTGGCTCTTGTCACCCATAGTAGATAGCAAGCCATGTCTCATCACTCTAGCAGTCTGGTCCTTAAATAAATCAAGATGGCGTTCGAACGTTGATTGGTGTTCGAACGTTGTACTCAAGTAGCTCTTGGTCTTCTGTGAAAATAACTGCAACACGCCATATGCCACCACCTCAACAAATTGGTCTTCAAATAATTCAAGAGGACGTTCGAACGTGGATTGGCGTTCAAATGTTCATGCCTTATTTCAAACTTCTCCAATTTTCTTGCAGAACATGTGGGTATTGCATGAAAGTTTGGTATTCATTGACCTTTGGTCTTAGGGATCTAGGGTTGTTCTTATAGAACTCTAGGCATATTTTGGTCTATTCTCCAGATTCGACTCCCTGAGTGTTAAGAGACCGCTCTAGCAAAGGCTAGCTAATATAGGGCAGTCCTAACTAGTTTTTAAGCCTAAAATTAAGCAAAAAACTTGTCTTCTTGAGCACTAAATAGTATTGCTCAAGTAGGGTCCGATAAATTATTCAAACTATCTTTTCAAAATGCATTTAAGGTTTAGAAAAATATTTTCAATAAAAAATCCTATGTCATTTTCGAATATTCCAAATTCCATTTTCTTAAGTTTAAAATTAAACCAAGGGATCTAGGTCTCCAGGGTCATTACCTTTGTCCTAAGCTTGAAGGTGTATCTGAGTGGTCTTGATATAGCATTGTAGCTTGATCTCTTTCCCTTCTTTTGCCGCTTATAAATCTTGATCTTTGAAGCTTGATGACCATGGAATTTAGTTGAGATTACATAAGATTCACAATATTAGCCAATTATAAGATATGATCTAACAGTATTGATTTTCTTTCATGAGATTATGCCAAGTTTCTTTTCATTTGAATAATGGTTATTTAATCTATCTATATATATATATATAATATTTTGTTTTGTATTATATTAATTATTTTCAAACATATGGTATGATGTGTGAATAGTATAATCGAAGTGAGTCTTAGTTGAGTGAGATCTTTGGTGAGGTTTACATTGAAGCTAACAATTGATAGTTATTAAGAGTGAGGTATTATTTGATGAATTTATGATGTTGATATAGTTATTTTATAGTACACACGAGTTTTAGGTGGAGATATAATATATGTATATTTTGATATAGCGTTTAGTTCTATGGTTTAACTTAATGTTGATTTATTTGAGTTTCTAGTTAAATATTGTCAATTTGTTCTAGTTAGTTTATGACATGATTTTATGGTTCATTTGTTTTGATGAATAGATTAAAGTTTGTAGGTATCTTCAATGGAAACTTTCACGAGACTATAGCTCATCTACTAAGAGTATTCTAGGAATTTAAATGTTTGTTGCATAGGTTAAACACAATCACGAGTGCTACGAAAGTGGGTTTATTTTTTATGTTTATTTGTGTTTTTAGTATTTGTTTTAGATTAGTAGAATTAATAGGTACTAGTAATATTCAAGTTGAGGGGTGTGATTAACCACCAACAATATTATTTTAGGGGTAGAAATCGTGCGTTCAGATCTCATCCCTGAACTCAAAGATTCTGGCTGACCTGGGTTAACCCCTTGGGCGACCCCCCAGTAGCCTTTACCTCTCAATGCCCGTGCAGAGTTTCGTCCTACATCAACTGAGAGTCGTCTCCCCCACCCCCTTATAAGCCTGAGCCCCTTAGGGATGGGTATGAAGCTCAGGCTTATGTGGGGGAGACGACTCTCAGTCGATGTGAGACGAAGTTTCGCACGGACACTGAGAGGTAAAGGCTACTGGGGGGTCGTTCAAAGGGTTAACCCAGGTCAGCCAGAATCTTTAAGTTCAGGGATGAGATTCGAACGCGCGATTTCTACCCCTAACAATTACATTGCATTTTAGAGTATATTTGCTTGAATTATCCGATTTTCTAGTTTGTTGCTTCTTGTATTTGTTTGTTTATTCTTGTAGGTATTTGGACTGATTTAGATCATCTATGGAGTGAAGTGAGGTAGACAAACATTGGAGGAAGGGATGTGGACCAGAAGATAGAGGTTCAGATCAAGTGAAGTAAATCTGTAGAGAATCATTAGCGTCCGGACGAATGATTCCCGTCCAGAAACACCCAAATACTGGAACATGAAGGCGCCCTTGGAATGAAAGTTGAGTGCATGTGGACGCAGTGTTTCATTCCGGACGCGCATGAAGAAATTTTGGCAGAGATTGAGTAGGATTCGAACGTAATATTTTTGTTTGAACACGTGAGAAAGATTTTAAGGCATCATGTTTAGACTATTTGGACGTGTAAATTGCGTCGACACACACATCTTGTACCCAGACCTATTAGATTTGCTGAGTATGAGTTCTTTTAGGGTTCAGCTAGTGCCCTAATATCCCTAGTATAAAATGAATCCTCTCTTATTGAGAGAGGGAGCCCTTTTATTAGCTTTCTTTTTATCACAATTCTTGGGAGACCTACCATGAATTGTGAGTAGTTTTCTTTCTACTCTTTGGTTATGCTTAACGGATTTATAAGTATTTATCCAAATATTTATTTTTATGCAATTATATTTTAGTTGTAATGATACATCTTTCTTTTATCCGATTGATTGGATATTTTTAGAAAACTTTCACACTTTGTATAATTGTTTAATTTTTTATTAACAAGATTGAGTTATTAATATATATAGACAATATTATGATTCCATGGAAGTATTTAAACTAGATCTTCAAATTTTATTTTTGATCAATCAACTCAATTGTTAGTTCAAAAAATATTTTTCAATTAACTACATTGATGTTGAAAATTAAGTGAGTTATCTAATATTGCATAAATATAATATCTAATAAATACTAGTATATCCAAATTCTCAAACTAAAAAGTTGTTTTTCAATTTTAGTTTTACCTCAAAATTACTTTTAAAATTGTTTTCAATTCTTCCAATTTTTACAAAAGAAATATTTTCTTCCTTCATACTTCTTTCCAAGTTATCCATTCTTTAAGAATTAATTTCAGACTACTGAGATTATTACTATAATTTGAACACCTGCACTTAGGTGTACCTTTGAGATTCATACAGTGACAAATATTTTCCTTAAGCAAAAACTTTACTGATAAATTTTTAATTTTCTCGAGAAAAATTTTCCAAAGTGAAAATCTTATTTATTGNCTTCAGACTACTGAGATTATTATTATAATTTGAACACCTACACTTAGGTGTACCTTTGAGATTCATACAGTGACAAATATTTTCCTTAAGCAAAAAATTTATTGATAAATTTTTAATTTTCTCGAGAAAAATTTTCCAAAGTGAAAATCTTATTTATTGTAGTGGGAGTAGTTACCGTCTCTTTTCACTTTTAAGGTATTCCATTTACTTATATTGGTTTGCCCATAGCCTCAATATCTTCCCAAGAACCTAGTTTCAATATTTTTGACACTCTCAATGATCTCCACAAAAATAAACTAATAATTACTCAAAATCAACAATAATCCCCAAAAAAAAAAGAAAACGATCACCAAAAAAATAAAAGTGGAATTTGAAACTATAAGAGCAACTCCACATAGAGCAAAAGATGGAAATACTAGTTAGCTATTGAGAATATTGCTATTTCCATAATTGTTTGATGCTTTAGTCTTATTTAGTACGTATCTACATACACACATTTCTTTCTGACGTAGTAGACAACCTAAAAATGGGGATCAAGCAGAAACAAGAGTGGAAATAACATAATGCTTACATTTGAGATTGAACAAGGGAAAAAAATATGCCGATTGAGAATGATCATGGACACAGTGGATTGTTCCCAGGTCCACCATAGTAAAAGTATGTGCCCCATTCATTGTTGTAGGAGCTCTGAATGTTGTAACAATTGGTGTTTTCAGCTAAGGTTGATATGTCGTGAGTTGAGATAAGACTGTTATCAGAATCCACAATTTCTAAGTTACGAAAGTAACTTGCTTTTCTAAACCCATCTTGGGCGAAATGACCAGAGCCCATTTGGGTGGAGGTGTGCTCGCCGTTGGCCCTTGAGTTCACCACCTCACCTCCCCACTCCACCATGGTGGCCCGGTCCGCTAGGTGTGTGAATAACTCTGCAGGCCAATAACCTACTAGGGTGTTGTCTCCAAACCCCATCCACCAATTCCCAAGCTTTGGATCCTAAATTAAAACAATAACATAAAATAACTATTAATACCGGGTAATGACCTTTTTGTTAAGAGGTCGAGGTCAAGGTCGAGATTGAAAAAATGTTACAAACTAAATGAAGAAACATAAATGGACCTTCCAAATAAGAACGGTGATGTCGTATTGATTGTTGTTAAACACCGACACTGGAGAAATGGCAGCTCCGATAGCTATCCTACTATTGGTTTGCACAAATCCTGCACATAGAAGGTTGTAGCATCCTGTTGCCTGGTATGAATCACTCTGTAATGTACATCACAATACGTAACTATCTTAAAAATATCATAACAAGTTAATATGGAAAGGTTATGTCTAAGTAATAACATATTGTGTTTAAGATAACACATCTGATGACTAGGAAATCGAGTCTTTGTTCTTCTAGTGTCAATGTAGCCGTTATTTTTCAGCCTTTATGGCTCCCCTTCCTCACTTTATAATGTCAGAAAGAAAGAAGCAAATTGAGTATACTATCAATCCATCCAAATGAAGATTGAAAAGGAATGGAAATGGGATTACAATTCAATCCAATACTAAATTCCTTCAATTTTATGCGTGTTAGTCTGTTTGTCATGTATTAAAGGGAGACCCATTTGTATGGGCTGAGTCCAATATGTCAAAACACTTTGAAATTCTGATCAGAGGGAGATCATTTAATGTTGGTTAAGAACAACAAAGATCATGTTCAATTTACATACTTCTTGTAAATACAGGGTCTAAGAAATATAAACGGCAAACAACCTTATCTCAATTTGGAGTGATCGATTCACAGATTCAAACAATAGACTAGTACTTGTCATCGTTTAAGAACAAAGTACCATCGTTTCATATGTAAGTGCTTTGGAGCTATAGTAATTGGTAGCATGACCAACAACCTACGAAGATGTGTTGACCTAAACTACAGAAGAAAGAATTGAAGGAAACAAATACATTCTCTAAAGGTGTTGCTTCTGATCTCCAAAAGATTGTTCTAGCCTATGTCACTAGGTATTAATGACGAGAACTGATTAAGAACCCCATCTGCTACCCACTCCTTGGACCACCAACATTTATGGTGGTGCACCAATTTCATTTTCGTGGGTAATGTGCCCCTCAAGTATGGGCTCAGAACAAGTACACAAACCATGTGCTTAGTCCATCTTTTCCTTCTATCTTCTCTTTGATTGTTGATTTTTCGGTGAAAATTATGATACTACCATTGGCCTGTAACATAGATATAACCCATCACACTTGGATCTTAAACGCTTTCCAAAAGTCAAGTGCATTAATTCTGGCATTGAAGTTAGGACAGGCTTGTAAATGTGATCTCGACATGATTCATGCCAAGTGCAGCAGTTGTGACTTAAATGGTTTTGGGTTAGGAACAACATGCCACAACACAAACTGCAGTGATTTAACCGTCCAGGGATAATCAAACTCGACCCAAATTCAAATTTTAGAAGGGTTCTTTGGAAATCGGTATACTTAATTAGATTTATTTGACAAAAAATATATAAAACAAAATGTTTTGGAAAAAAGTATATAATTAAGTTACAAATACATAAATGTCCATTTTTGGGTCATTTAATTCAAAATCTCTTATCTTTAATGCTCCTTGATTTATGTGTGTTTGTTAATACATGTATATATATATATATATATGTATATATATATATATATACGCATATACGAATATATATATTTGTTTATATACATGTATATACGAATATATATACACTTGTTAAATCTTTTATCTAAATTTTGAATTATCTTTAATGCACTTTGATTTATGCGTATTTTTTTTAAAAGTGATTTTGTTTTCAAATTATATTTCATATACCTTGATACAAGCTTTTTTTTTTTTTTGGAAAATTATTTTATTTTTAAATTAATTTAATATTTGAATAATGTAATAGTGTAACAAATACACTGTAACAAAGACAATGTAACAAAAACAGTGTTCAAAAATTTTGTGTATATGGTAACAAATTCAAAATGAAGATATACTCTTTTGAATAAAATTATATGAAACTATATGTTTGACAAAATGTAATAGTACAATATTTTATTTAAATAGCTTGTTACACTGTTAGTGTTACACTGTTATTATTACGCTGTTACACTTTTATTGTTACACTATTACATTATTCGGATATTAAATTAATTTGAAAATAAAACCACTTTCCAAAACAAAAAATTCATGAAACAAGGTGCATTAAAAGATAATTTAAAATTTAGATAAANACAAACTGCAGTGATTTAACCGTCCAGGGATAATCAAACTCGACCCAAATGCAAATTTTAGAAGGGTTCTTTGGAAACCGGTATTTATATAAGTGTACGCATGAATCACACACACACACACACACACACACACACATNCAAAACAAAAAATTCATGAAACAAGGTGCATTAAAAGATAATTTAAAATTTAGATAAAAGATTTAACAACAAGTATATATATACATACATACATAAGTATTTATATAAGTGTACGCATGAATCACACACACACACACACACACACACACACATATATATATATACATACATAAGTATTTATATAAGTGTATATTTATATAATAAAGTAGAACGAAGTTTGAATCCAAAAGACAAAGAGAAGTTTAAATCGTTTTGAGACAAAATATAAACACATCCAACGGACAACGTAATCTCAACATAAAAGACGGTTCAGATCGATCAGTCTTATTGATCCGATGATCTTAATTAATCTACATTCCAACAATACTCAACTACATTCCTTTTATCTCTCCTCATCTCCATTCAAAACATTGGAGAGATTGACTAAGACTCTACTATATTCTTTTTATTTCTCATCATCTTCATTTAAACTATTAGAGAGTTTGACTTAANTCCAACATAAAAGACGGTTCAGATCGATCAGTCTTATTGATCCGACGATCTTAATTAATCTACATTCCAACAATACTCAACTACATTCCTTTTATCTCTCCTCATCTCCATTCAAAACATTGGAGAGATTGACTAAGACTCTACTATATTCTTTTTATTTCTCATCATCTTCATTTAAACTATTAGAGAGTTTGACTTAAATAGTTGTATATCATTATATATCTATATACATTAACAATATAGAGGCAATTTTAAATTTTCAAAATTAAAATTAATACTCTCAATTTTAAAAAAAGAGAGAGAAGAACAATTAAGATTTAATTGAAATTTAAATATACGATTTAGATATTATCAAAATTCATCTAATCTAATCCTACCCAAATATTATATATGTATAAAAAANCATATCAATATATATCTATATACACTAACAATATAGAGGCAATTTTAAATTTTCAAAATTAAAATTAATACTCTCAATTTTAAAAAAAAGAGAGAGAAGAACAATTAAGATTTAATTGAAATTTAAATATACGATTTAGATATTATCAAAATTCATCTAATCTAATCCCACCCAAATATTATATATGTATAAAAAATTGACTAATTATCACCAATATAAAAAGTGAAGCTAATTGTCATTTTTATAATTAAAAAATATCAATTATTCACTAACAATCTATTAAATTTATTCAATAAACGATGTTTTAAACATTATTACTAAAATATTAGTATAATAAAACTATTAAACTAAAATCTAAGAGATATAGTAAAAAAATTAAAAATCAATTGGTACATAATAAAGACTATAATCAATACTCGAATAAAAATAAAGGATAATTTTTCGTAGAAAAAATAAAATCAAATGAAGATCAATTGAAAGTACTTTCACTCACAAAAATTCATAACAAAATGAAGGTCATCTGAAGAAAGTCATATTATAATAAAAAAAGACTAAATAATTATNCGATATATATATATCCTAGTAAGAGTCTTATGTGATACACGAAATTTATAATCTATATTCCTTCGGTTCTTTCCCGCCTTTTTTTCATATTTTTTTCATCACATAACATAGGTAATTCAAGAATTATTAAAGTTTATAGTGGATTGAAATTAATTTTTTTAAAAACTTAGAATGATGGATGGTTGCTTGAAAAGATAGTGAAAATGTAGTTTTATTGGNATATTTTTTTAAAAAAACAATTGAGGATGAGCCCGTGTCTACCCTCGCCCCTGTGTCGCTCTGTCCAAGTATGTCATCCTATATCTATTTATCTATATCTATATTTATATGATCCTAATTGAATTTTTATTTTTTTTACATCTCTTTCTCTTACACACACTCTCATCTCTCATATAACTCTATTTTCCAAGAGTTTGACTTGGACGACTATATATATATCTAATAATAACATAATACATCTAATACTCATTAATACTATAATCTCTCTATATCATATTCTCATCTCTCATAAAACTCTCTCTCTATACATTCACCAACATACACATGTCAATATCGAATCCTACAAAAATAGAAGATATTTTTTAGGTATAATGATTAAATATATAATTTGTGTACATGTTGATATTTTTTAGGGGTTGTGCTTTTAAATTAATTTTTATTTGTGTAACTAAAGAAAATAATAAAAAAATAAAGTATTTTTGAAATATTTATATTNTACATTCACCAACATACACATGTCAATATCGACTCCTACAAAAATAGAAGATATTTTTTAGGTATAATGATTAAATATATAGTTTGTGTACATGTTGATATTTTTTAGGGGTTGTGCTTTTAAATTAATTTTCATTTGTGTAACTAAAGAAAATAATAAAAAAAATAAAGTATTTTTGAAATATTTATATTGCGTAACCCGTGATCGAGGTTTTTTGAGTTGCTTAGTGTCTTAAGACACGAGTTATTACTAGTATATATATAAAGCATGAATCAATGTGCATTAAAATATAATTTATATACATATACGTTTTTATATATACATGAATACAAATTTTAAAATTCAAATAAGTATATATATATATATCTGTGTGTGTGTGTAAATATATATATATATATGTATGTATTAAAGTTCTCCCATAAAATTAAGAGATATTTAATACACCATTTTTCAAAGAAAAGTGGTGCATTAAATACACATGGATTAATGGGGGGCAAAAATATCACAAAAAAATCAATAAAATTTAAAAAATGTACTTAGATATAAATAAGTATCAAAATTAAGGACTTAATTATCCAACATTTTTTTCTATATACTTTTTTATAATTAAGTCTAATTGAGTGTACCTCCTACCAATTTTTCCATTTTAGAATTAAAGGGATCTAAGTCTGTTTTAAATTTAAGTTTTGATATTCATAATTTGGATCAAAATATAGAGGATAAATTCGGATCCAAAATAGCCGTATAGTAGAATAGACTTGTTATCATATATGTCTACTATGTCACCATCACAAGAGACTTTGAAATTCACTTGATAAGCTAATCGAATCTGAACCGTTGATTTTCTATGCACCACTATCTTGGATCGAGATCATCAACTCAACTTCGAAAGCAGACTCTAGAGAAGTTTGACTTTGAACTTATGCAACCTAGTTGGGGGTCATCACGTGGGATCGACTCCGCACAAGCTTGTCACGTGGTCATCGCAATACAAGGATGTGGTTTATGTACAACTACAACACTGTTATTCTTGTTAAATCTTTCATCAAATGATGCTTACTATTGAATTAGAAAAGTTTTATTTTTTATGGTGGAATTCGCTGATATAATCATAGACATGCAGGGAATAGAATTTGGTTAGATATTTATATAAATTACTACTCTTTTATATTTCTTAATCACTAAACGATATATATATATCCTAGTAAGAGTCTTATGTGATACACGAAATTTATAATCTATATTCCTTCGGTTCTTTCCCGCCTTTTTTTCATATTTTTTTCATCACATAACATAGGTAATTCAAGAATTATTAAAGTTTATAGTGGATTGAAATTAATTTTTTTAAAAACTTAGAATGATGGATGGTTGCTTGAAAAGATAGTGAAAATGTAGTTTTATTGGTCAAGTGTTCGTTGGAGAATATTTAACTTTTTAATTAATTAAATAAACATTAAAAAAAGTGGAAGGAAAGTCATCTCTCCAAAAAAAAAAAATTTATTATTATTATTATATATATATACATACACACACATATACATATTAAAAATTGGAGGAACATTAGATAGTCGAGGAAGAGAGATCTGACCGTCCAGTAAGTGAATAATCGAGGCCTGCTGTCACCGTAAAGCTCCGGACTAACCTGACTAGTAGAAGGATCAAAGCTTCAGAAATTCATCTGTTTTTATTTGGTCAATCCAGAAATTCAACTTGAATTCTTATAATAATACGTGTTTCTTGAAATCAATACAATTAAATAACTATTTTTATATGAGGAAATTAATAAAAGAGCCTTGGATTCTGTGTGTGCGGGAACAGAAATGTGACAAGTACCTGCCAACCTGCTTCTATGCTGTTGAGATCTGAGCCGTCGAATGATCCCGAAAGAATCCAAATCTGGGAGATGCTGAACTCGTTGACCAATTCAATCGAAGGGTTCCACACATTTATTGTCGCCTTTGCTCCATACATCTCCTGTGATGTGTCGGTGTATGCTATCGCATGCTATAAAAGTGCGAACATGCAACTCCATTAGACACTTTAACAAGGGTAAACTACATTCCGGACCCATAAACTGTGTCAATTAAGTCAAATATAACTCCTCTTAACAGTGTAGATTATCACCATCGTCAATCATCAAAGATCCAAGATCTAGGTCCCCCTAATACTTTTTTTTTCCTATTTCTTTTATATAATGGACCCTACTTAAATTCGTAATAGATAATTTTTGAAAAAAAAATAGAGAAAAAAAATATATTGAGAGGAATTTCAATCCATGAATTCAGAACTTTTTAATTTTCAATTTATGATTCGATAAAACTTTGTCATTTGTTTAATTGGATTCATTCATAATTTTATATGGGTAATTTTTTTTTATATATAAATCGTTATATCACTATTACAACAACGAAGAATTATTACTATTTTTGATTGAAAACAAACAATAAAGCACCATCACAAAGGGTGAAAAGAAGGCCACAAGAGGACATAATAGAATTTTAAATTGACTCTTTGACCTCTTGGGTGAAGAGCCTTGAGAAAATGGTGACAAACAGAAATTGGTAGGGTTTAAAGAAATCCACTTAAATTGCTAAACCATCCACATAAGAACGACAATGCTCAGAAAATATACAAAACTCCAAAATAAAATCAGGAAACGAGTTAGCAAATGGGGCCCTGAAGAAAAGCTAATCAAATCCAATTTCTTTCACTTAATAGTTTTTAGCCCTCGGGATTTGATTACTCAATAAGAAAGGTTATATCTTTTTTTTGGGTAAGTAAGAAAGCTTATATCAATGTGCCTCATTAACTAAGCAAAAGGAGAATGAGTTGGCATACTAATGTTTATTTGTATTGAGTATCAATGTTTTGAGAATTGCTCTAGCAAAAGCATTTACAAATAATTCTGATAGTAATTGAAATGGAATAGGTCACTACTCAATTAATTATTGATCCTTCAATACCTATTAATCACTAAAACACAACCGTATTGCAATTTTCATACTTAATCTTGTTAATAATTTGACCATTATTGAAGTTAATAATCATAGCGGTAAAGTGTAGAATTACATCGATGAAATCTAGTACTAGATACTTCTCTTGCATTTCATTATGGTAGCATTGTATTTGGATCCATTAACAACTTATGGTACCATTTTTTTTAGTGGACTTAATCGTAGNTCTTCCCTTGCATTTCATTATGGTAGCATTGTATTTGGATCCATTAACAACTTATGGTACCATTTTTTTTAGTGGACTTAATCGTAGATGGTAGAGGAGAAAACGATAAACTAGTTTAACCAATAATAAATATTAGAGTGACAGTAATCGACAGAATGCATTAATAGAGACTGACCTGATACAAAGTGAGTGGATTAAGATTGATTAGATCTACACATGAATCTCAATATAACATGACCTTTCATTTGACAAGAATAATACATGAGTTGGTTCAGTGTCAAACTCGAATAACTTAATTTTAATATAGTAATCCGGTTCAACATGTATTGTATGAGGAAAATGTTTTTTTTTTTTTTTAATTCCTCCTCATTCATATATTTTATGAAATCTTGTGGCATTACAAGATTTTTAATTAGTTTATGGGACCTATGATTTGAGGTCCTCTAAGAGATAAAAGAGTCTTAGTCTCGTATTTCTAGTTCATGAGTGACATGACATTTAACTAAACTACTTACACAGGATAGTACGGTTATATTTGACTAATACTGAGCACAAATACGAGGCTGCTTAGACATTCACTTCAATGGAGTTAAGTGGTTGACAATTACCTCATGGCCATTGCCGCTCACTACGTCTGGTGCATCTGTGCGCCTAGCAAGTTGTATTGGACGATGTTTCTTCCCAAAATCATAAAGAGACTTGGCTCGAAGAACATCATGCACACTGCTCCTCCGAATAGGAACAGTTCCTTTGGGACACCGTTGCCCATTCTCATGCCATGTTTGCCATGCTGCACCTCTAAGACTGCTCCTATTTGTTTCTCTCACCTCATCTGTTTTCATGATTTTCATCTTGGGCCTTTCTGGTGGAACTCTCTGTCATCACCACATAAGTAAAGTCATATGGGTGTGTGTGGGTGTGAGTGTGTATGAGAGAGAGAGAGAGATGGAAGATGTATCTAATTTTGAAGAGGTAGTTGGTAGTTGAAAACGAAGGAACCATGAATCAAAAAATTTATTTTTTCCTCACAGAAAAGGGGGTTGGGGGTTGAGGTAGAGAGAGAGAGAGAGACACAGAGAGAAGAGGTCTGTTTTTTGGATTATGTACCTGGATTTTGTGTTTCTTTAGAAGAGGATGATCTAAAGCAGGTTGTTTTCTTTTATGAACACAATCTATGATATCTCCATCTGAGCTCTATGAAGATCAAGCAAAAACACCAAAATAAGAAGGAAAAAACCATGTAAAATACAATTAAATTTAGACAAAGAAGCAAAGAGTAAAAAAAAAGAAACAAAATAGATACCTCTATAGTAAGGACAGCAGGCTTGTTAATCTGATCCAAATGCTTCTGTATCCTAGCAAGTCTCAAGCTCCCCACTTGTCTGTACTTTGTATAGTTTAAACTCGAAACGGCCAAAGTTCTTTCGGAGAAAACGACAACGAGAAACGGCAGAAGAAGATGAAGAAGTAGAGCTTGAAACCCTTTCTTCCTTCCAACAATATCCATTTCATTCAGTGCCACTAAAAAAACTGAAGAAAACACAAAACCATTACTAGAAAAAAGGAAGACCACAACCAAATCAGAGACACCTCTTAATAATCCCAAAACAAGCCAGCAGAAAAGGAAGGTAAGAAAATGACACNCTACTTACACAGGATAGTACGGTTATATTTGACTAATACTGAGCACAAATACGAGGCTGCTTAGACATTCACTTCAATGGAGTTAAGTGGTTGACAATTACCTCATGGCCATTGCCGCTCACTACGTCTGGTGCATCTGTGCGCCTAGCAAGTTGTATTGGACGATGTTTCTTCCCAAAATCATAAAGAGACTTGGCTCGAAGAACATCATGCACACTGCTCCTCCGAATAGGAACAGTTCCTTTGGGACACCGTTGCCCATTCTCATGCCATGTTTGCCATGCTGCACCTCTAAGACTGCTCCTATTTGTTTCTCTCACCTCATCTGTTTTCATGATTTTCATCTTGGGCCTTTCTGGTGGAACTCTCTGTCATCACCACATAAGTAAAGTCATATGGGTGTGTGTGGGTGTGAGTGTGTATGAGAGAGAGAGAGAGAGATGGAAGATGTATCTAATTTTGAAGAGGTAGTTGGTAGTTGAAAACGAAGGAACCATGAATCAAAAAATTTAATTTTTTCCTCACAGAAAAGGGGGTTGGGGGTTGAGGTAGAGAGAGAGAGAGAGACACAGAGAGAAGAGGTCTGTTTTTTGGATTATGTACCTGGATTTTGTGTTTCTTTAGAAGAGGATGATCTAAAGCAGGTTGTTTTCTTTTATGAACACAATCTATGATATCTCCATCTGAGCTCTATGAAGATCAAGCAAAAACACCAAAATAAGAAGGAAAAAACCATGTAAAATACAATTAAATTTAGACAAAGAAGCAAAGAGTAAAAAAAAAGAAACAAAATAGATACCTCTATAGTAAGGACAGCAGGCTTGTTAATCTGATCCAAATGCTTCTGTATCCTAGCAAGTCTCAAGCTCCCCACTTGTCTGTACTTTGTATAGTTTAAACTCGAAACGGCCAAAGTTCTTTCGGAGAAAACGACAACGAGAAACGGCAGAAGAAGATGAAGAAGTAGAGCTTGAAACCCTTTCTTCCTTCCAACAATATCCATTTCATTCAGTGCCACTAAAAAAACTGAAGAAAACACAAAACCATTACTAGAAAAAAGGAAGACCACAACCAAATCAGAGACACCTCTTAATAATCCCAAAACAAGCCAGCAGAAAAGGAAGGTAAGAAAATGACACCCTAATGAGGACTCTCTCTGTGTCTCTCTCTGTCTCTGTCTCTCAGAGTGTGTGAATGCTGAGAGGAGGAGGTGGATGAAGGTTAATTAAGCTGCGCACACAGCCCCAAACAGCTTCAGGTTCATCATGATGATTGCCTGCATAGGATTTTAGCTTCAATCACTGTTAAAATTTGTTCTTATGGAATTGCAACATCAAACAGAAGATTATAATCAAAGCATTATAAACACACAACCTACCCATCTCTGAACACTCCCCACCTGTTTTATTGCACCCACTTAATTATATGCATCTGCCTCTGCCACCAGACAATCTTCGCCATTAATATTCCTTCTTACCGCTCGCCCTTTACTTGTTTCTTTCTTTCTTTGCTTCAGAGTTTGCTTCCTGTTGTATCCATTTAGGAAAATTACATTTAGATCCCTTAAACTACCCCATTCATTTTACATGCCCCTGAACTATCCATTTTCCCACATTGCGTTTTAAACTATTGCCCCAATCTTTTATTATTATTATCTTTTGGTTCAAGAATATTTTATTTTTGTCCAATGTTTAATGACAACTCAAGAGAAAAATGAAATTCCTCTTAGCTGAGGAAGACCACGTCTACTAACATTCAGGGATTCCTTTTTCCCCCAATTTTGCTGTAAAAAATTGGACAAAAATGAATGATTACGACAACGTGCAGCTCAACCTAAATAGTTTAAGTTGCTGAGAGAAAATGAACTGTTGAGGGGAAAATGTGAAATGAGGCATAGATTGGGTGGTCTAAATGTAATTAGCTCTATCCTATTTGAATCCATGGTTGCACGCAGTTGCTATGCTTTCTGTTCTATGTCACAGCCACGTGTCCATTGGGTCAAATTTCTATACCCNGCCCCCAATTTTGCTGTAAAAAATTGGACAAAAATGAATGATTAGGACAACGTGCAGCTCAACCTAAATAGTTTAAGTTGCTGAGAGAAAATGAACTGTTGAGGGGAAAATGTGAAATGAGAGGCATAGATTGGGTGGTCTAAATGTAATTAGCTCTATCCTATTTGAATCCATGGTTGCACGCAGTTACTATGCTTTCTGTTCTATGTCACAGCCACGTGTCCATTGGGTCAAATTTCTATACCCTACTTTATTGCTTGGGGTGTTACGTTTCTTGACCTAAAATTTACGTATAGTGAGCATAAATGTAAAAGATATGTTACTATCTTTAAGATACATTCAAGTTATCTGCCATAAATCATATACACCTAACTTGTTAGAATGTACGAAAAGGATATGTCGACTGCCTAATTATTTCTTCCACCATTAGAGATGGAAAAACAATGCAGTAGTATTGGCCCACAAAATAAAAGAGAATATAGGTGAAGGATTTGCATGCTGCAAGATGGAATTTTTGAATTTTGTTTTCTTCTCTCTGTGTTACTGTGGTTTTCCCATCCTACTATTTTTAAGTTTTTGTTTTTGAGACGTGAGAAAAATTAGCTTTGTAAATTTGAAAACTTCATTCTCAGTCGACCGTAGAAGAAATATTTGAAATCCATAAGTATCTTATGTGATGAATTGATTCAGAACTTAGAGATTCAATTGCAAACCGAATAAACACAAGGAATATTAGGTGCTAAAAAAAAACTGAGAACGTTCCTGAAGAGCAGGAATTGCTCAAGAATCCATTCCATCGGGGTTCGGAGCAAATCTGTGAAAATTATGAAGAAATTAATGAGAATAAGTAATTTTTATGATGTAGTATAGACGTGAAGAAACAAGCCTTGAAATTAAATTTTGTTCACTGAGATACATCATCACAATTATAGTAAACATTTGCCCATACCAATCATATTATGTAAAAATAATATTATTTAAACTTAAAAATTTAATTTAATTTATTGATCTAATGATGCAGTTTCATTAGAATCATTGAATCAACATCAAATTCTAATTCTAATGTTTGATGTGACTCACATTTAATCCAAAAGTTATAGTCAATTAAATCATCAAATTACGTCAATAAATCATGTCCAATATTACTCTTCCGCCAAATAGTTATCGCAACCAAAGGATTATAAAATCAAAAATCCATTGTTGAAATCAAGTAGGTTAGTAGCACAGATGTTCTCAACTTTTTTAAATGATTTAAATAATCAGCATCATGGATGCATGTGTGGACTTTGAGGTGATTGATGAACCCCAAGGTCGGTCAAGACTCAAAGAGCTGTTGGTTAAAATTTCAACGTATGAGAGAGAGAGACAGAGAGAGAGAGACTTCTATTCTGCTCTTTCAAAGCATTGGGTCACAAGCAATGCCATGATCCATGCTGCTATGCGCTCATCTCCATGTGGTTGGATTCAAATAAATGCAGTAATCAATGCATATTGTAATAGTTGAAGAATACTTGATCAAAAAAAAAAGTAATAGATGAGAATATAAAAACCGAAAGTAATGTTTAGTAAACCAGATAATAAATGACTTACACCCAAAAAGTCAGATAATAAATGGGGTAAGCTTCTATTCTCGAATCTCTAACTCTTCTTACCAAAAAAAAAAGAAGCTTTAACTCCTCTTTGTTTTCTCTCATTCAGCTGAAAAACTTATGGTCAGCTTATGAACTTCTTAAGCCTGAAATCAGGAATTGACTCGAAAACTTAAGTGTGAATGATCCATGTTTTCTCCGTATCACCTCATGACATTTTATTCCACAAGAGTGTTAACCAATGGGCTTAACCTCATTGGCGCACCTACTATTCTCTCAATATTTTTTCAATCAAGTGGTCGAATGATTAATTTCTTATGTTTTCTTCTTTGGGTTCTATTGTAACTTCTTTTGGGCTTGTTTTCACCTAAATATCTGAGTGTTTTCTCATCTGGTGACTAATATAGATATACTAGTCATTGTCCGTGCCTGAAAACACTATATTACTTATAAAATTTCAATACACAAAGATAAGATGTTTGAATAATTTCAACACATAACGATTAGATTGGTTTTGAATATTTTTTGTTGGTGCAATTGGTATCTTATTTTGTTTGTATTGGTCACTTTTTTTTTAATTGCTGATTAACTTAGGATTTGAATTTTCTTTTAATTTTCTGAGAACTATATGTTTTCATACAGTAGTGATTTATTTTTGGTATGAATAATAATTTGATGATTTTATTTATGGATTATAAAGACAATTTAAATTTAATTGATTGATAAGAAATAAGAAGTAAACATCAACCATCGGTATTAAGATGCGTGATAAGAAGATCTGCTTACAATGTACTCTAGGTATGAATCAGTTTGTAATAAGAATGATGAAAAATTATATAGTAAGTATATAATGGTTTTTAATGAAATATTATAACAAAAATTTTGAAAAAATCGATATACTAAATAACTTACATGTCCAAAAATGGTGACATTGTCTATTTGGGTACTATTTTTTGTGTTGTAATGACGGTGTGTATGCGGTTATTGAGGTCAAATGTTAAACTGTCAAACTTTGAAAAAAAGTACTAAACTTAGAGATATTATTATTTTATATGTGTTTAATAGAAATATTTTTAATTTTATGCAAAGTTTTATCGTAAAATTAGAAATTAAACAAAATCAACCTAAATCAAGGAACAAACAATACACTTTTAACATATAACATTTAACAACAATCAGTTAATGACAATACATCCACAATTAAACCACATGAATATTAAAAATTAAAAATAATAAACTATTGTCAAAACATACACCACTAAACCAAACCAAAAAAATCATTAATGATAAACAATAATGGGTACCAGCAAGAGTATTTCTGGAGGTTAGATCACTGCCAATACAATTTGGATGGAAGAGAATGAATGGTCGGAGTGGGTAAGTCCAGTAGATCTTCAGATTATGTAGTGGGTCGCTGAAGAAGGTCTGTCAATTTTTGGAGTCTACACAGAGAGATGAGAGACTGAAGAAAATGACAATGATTTCTAAGAAACTAAGAGAGGTGAGATGGTTAATGGGGGAAAAAAGAAAGAGTTTGGACTGTGTGTTAAACAAAATGGGTAGAATGTGAGTATAGTTAAATTGGGTGGGATTCAAAGGCGGAGCCACATTGGACCTGGGTGGGCACATGTCCCCCTCATTTTTTTTTTATATTAGATATATATATTTTAAAATAAAATTTAGATATATTTAATTGTGTCCACTCTCAATTTTTTTTTATAATAAATATATATATTTTAAAATAAAATTTAGATATATTTAATTGTGTCCATCTTATTATTGCATTATTGTGATATCGATTAAGATAGACAGCTACTTAAATCATAATTAATTTTTAAATAATATTATTGGAACTAATACATTATGATATTAAATCTAATAGTGAGTCCCTACATTTAATAACGTTTACTATACATCAAAAGGTCACAAACTATTGGATTCCTACTAATTAAATTTTAAATTTTTTTTTTGGTCAAGATATAAAATTAAATTTTGAATTAGATGATATTACTATTATTCTTAACTTTTTAGACACAGACATGTCCGAATAATTTTTAGACATATCGCGTTCATTTTTCTAAATTATAGGATTATTTTATTATTGTATAGAAATGAGCGTCATAATGTAATAATTTACAGGGTAATCAATAAAAGACTGTTATTACCATTTTGTATATAGAAAAAAAATATTTATTGATATCATTGATTTGTAATTCTTTTGAATGATAAACAATAATTAGATTTAATTGTAAAATGATAATAATTAGTCTCATACGAAGTTTTAATTAATTTTTTTTTATTTTTTGTTTGTTCATTCCATGCAAATAGTTTGTTAACCTTTTATGTTTAATGAATTTTTACGCATAATTATAGTAAGGGTTAATCTCAATTTACACCCT